TGCGGTTTCTAGTATATGACCTCCAGATAATAATCAAGGAAATAATATATATACATGAAAAGAAAGATCTCCGGAAAATCGAGTTGTTCTCGTGAATTTTCGAAAAGGTATCACTTGTTCGTCTAGTGCGCATTCCCAGCTATCACTTTTCATTTAGTCCGACGACGAACAAGTGGTACCTGTTCAAAAATTCACGAATACAACTCGATTTTCCGAAGACCTTCCTTCTTTTCATCATATAACCTCAGAATGCAACTTAGTTCACTTATCCATATACATATAGATATATACATGGCAAAGCGTTATCACACAGAAGGAATTATCGGCTGACGCAGGAGCCTAAACCATAGCCTACGATGCGGCCACCGTATCCTTCTTTCGGTTCGCGATGTCCAGGCCAGTTAGGTTTATGGAGGCAGCAAACAGGTGAATCAGACTGAAGGCGGTCTTGAGGAGAGCGATAGGCAGCGATAGAAAGAGGATCACCTCGAAGAGGCTGTATCCAAACACTTTAGGTGGGGAGGAAGAACGGGCGAAAAGGATAAGTAACAAATGAGATACTGCATGCACGATGCAGATAATACTCTAGCGAGTTACAAATGGTTTTTACAGAAGAGAGGGAAAAAACGGAAACATAACTTAGCCTAATAAAACTAGACAATAAACTAAAATAATCACAACTAATAAAACTAACCAATAAACAAATAACTAAACAAAAGAAATAAGGGCAAAACTGATATTCTCCCGCCGAACTGCCGAACGTATTTTGTGGTCAAACATTTAATTCTTGGCTAGTAGGTGTTAATGAATATTTAAGTGTGGCGGAAGTGGTCAAAAAATATTAAATCAAATAACACTACATTTGTTTTAATATACTAAAATAGGATAACTTCCATCAACATGAACTCCGATTGCGCAGTACCCGCATGCCAATTGAGGGAAATTCGACCTTAGGCAGGCGGAATTTAACAAAAATGGAAATTCGATCTTCTTTTAGGGAAATTTAGGGAACATGGAAGAGTCGGGCTACTAAAAATTTAAAAAGTATATTTTCTATAATAAGTTGACGGGATTTAGAGCCTTTAAAGTCAGTCCTACCAAAATAAGTAATCAGTTATGCTAACACAGACTACAGTGTTGCTTTTAGGAAACCTGTTATCGCCGGCTAAACAATTTTTGGAAAACCTCCATGTCCATCTCCGGGGAAATTCTGCCCAAACTACACATAATTGTTCCCTTCCCCCACACACTCTCCGCCCCCCATGTTGTACAATGCTGGCTGCCTCAAGAGGCAGCTGTTTCGACTCACTGAAACGAAGAGCCAGTGACTGACTTTGTGACGGATATCCAACTATGCTGTCCGCACCCTCCATCTCCCCCACCCCCCTCGCTGCCTCGATAAGCGGCTGTGTGCGGCTTACTGAGCCGATATTCCCTGACCTAGTTGTCCGCGAACACACGCATCTGCGCAAGACAGTCGCGGC